CAGACTAACACACACATGGTCTTGTTTCGGGATTTGTGGAGAGTAGTTAGTACTAGAAAAATTAAACAGTGATGATGAAAGCAAATAACAAAAGATATATTCATTGTCACTGTACAAGTACAACGAAATTAGGTTATAATATGGGCTCATGTTTTTAGTCATACACATTACAGACTATTTAATGACGAAGTTGCAGAGCAACAATTTCAATGGATTTATATAATGGAAGGGACTCATCCTGTTAACCACTTGCAATACATTTTATTCGCCTGTAGGTGGCAGCATTTCACCATCAAACCCAAGCTGACCTTTCTATAGGACTGTAGCGCAGTTCCTCCTCATCCAGAAAACTGCAGTCATAAACAGCCTGGTTCAGCCTTCTTTCTTTTTAGTCCACTAGTTTCATGTCTCATGCTCTGTTCTATAAACTTTAGCTACTTAACAAAAAGACAGGCACTTTATTCTCATTGTGTTCCATTATGAACAGCTGCGTATTAGTGATAATAATGCACCGAAATCTAATGTATCATGTGTTGATGTGAAAGTGCACTGAGCATGTGTGACGTCGGAAGCATCACACATTTTTTTTATAGACAGACCCACGGAGATGGCAGTGGGAGGGAGACAAAGACAGATGGACTGTGTGTGTGTGTGTGTGTGTGTGTGTGTGTGTGTGTGTGTGTGTGTGTGTGAGTGTGTGTGTATGGGCATATCCATGTATGCATGCGTGTGTTTTTTGTATCAACGCGTGCTTTTGTCAATGTGTATGTTTATGTGCACTAGAACACAGATGTTGCAGGAATACTTGCTGCTTACCCCCCTCATGAAGGAAGCAGCAGTGGGGCCTGGCAGCTGTTATACTGAATGAGGGGGAGGGTCCAGTTTATTTCAGGTGAGACATCTTCTAGGATAAACAGAACGTAGGAGAAATGTTGCTTAGTGACTTACAAAAAAGCTGTTACCAAGATGATGAAAAGAACCAAACAAAGCAAAATACAATAGAATTTAACAGACGATGCCCCATATTCTACTACAATAGAAAATGTATCATTCGCTCTCCTCTTTGTCTCCCTTTCCCATACAGTTCCATAGGCGTAACATGTTATGGATGTAATCTCTAAGAGGATTCTCTCTGCTTGGTATCATGGTACATGTTAATTTCACCTCTTTATGTTCCTTATTGAAACAGACCCAAGATCTCCCAGGCCAGCCAACCAGCCCGCCAAGCGTCATCAATTCACCCCTAATCTCTCCCCCCAGTCCTTTTACAGCTAATCCATTGTGTTGGTCATTGTCATCTGATCATGTGTGACCCCGGCTGCTTTATAGCTGGTTCCTGGCAGCGTAACATTGACTTTTGACATCCATCTTCAGGCAGATATCATGGGGAAGGGGGCAGTTAAAACTTGGATTTGGCTTTTTATTTCCCTTTTTATTGTTATCCCTATTTCTCTACGATTTCAAGCTCTCTCACACAACTTTTGGTATGAGAAGTTGTGGTGAGAAAGACTGAAGGTTGGGTAGGATATCGATTGGAATGTATTTTGTTGGGACAAAGTTTAACACTACTTATGCACTACTCTTTTCTTTTTTTTTCAAAAGTTTTACCAGATTTTTAGTGAGTTCAGTCCGGGGTGAGGAAATTGTAGTTTAAATGCAACAGTAGGAATTAATGATTGCAGCTGTTTTCTTTCTTTAACCACAAATAATTTTGACTGATTTATATTTAGGCCTGCTGCGTACAGACATAAAAAAAGCAAAAGAAATCCCGACAACAGAGCCAAGGCGTACCATACACAGCTTTACATAAACCTCAAACCAGCTTAGCAAACATGATGTGACACCCAGTGATGGTGTGATCATTCCTGGATCACTCATGAATCGTACAGCCATAACAATCCCACCCGCACCCCACCCTCTGCCCCTTTACCTCCCTCTGAGCTCTCCCCAGGACTGTTTTCACTAGTGACGATACTCCTCATACTCCAAACACAAATGGTTCTCCTCATGTCTTTATCAGAACTTCCACTGCGGCCCCTCTGCCATCAGAGGACTCTTTTCCCGCCTCATGCCTCACCCACGCCTCACTCCTCCCTCACCCCACGCCAGGCCCCTGGTCGATCCGTCTATCTGCCCCTGCACTGACTCCTCATTAACACATGAATGAAGGCAGGGAAAGGCCCGCTAAGGCTTGGACGCCAACAGAAGGCTGCGGATTTGCAATTCAAACCTCCTAACCCCCCCCCCCCTCCAGCCCCTGTGTACTGGGACTGGAACTGTCACCAGTATGATTGAGGATGTATATAAGAAGGGAGAGAGGGATCAAGAGAGACAGATGTGCATTCACACACTCATGCCATGCTTATACACACTGTTATATTGACAGGCACAGTGCAAAATCATGCAGCCTTGCAAATGCACAGTGCATGAGAGAAGGAGAGAGCGGCTGCAGCTGCTGTACACCAATGACTTTCTAGTAAAATTATTTTCTAAAATAAAGTCTGAGAAAATACAAATTCACAAATAGCCAGTCCATACATCTCTCAATTGCTTAAAACCAAATAAACATCTCTGACTGTCTTTCAATCCATGAACCTGCTCAGTGAAGTAGAGAGCTCTAACTGTTCACAGAGGACAAACCTGTAAAACTAATCAAACCTCCAAAATATGAGCCAATTTTCACTTTTAAACCTATAGGTCAACACTTTCTATGTCCCACACTGTCTTTGACTTCTCATTATTTACCACCATGTTCCCCCTATCAGCTTCACTGTCTATGTATCTTTTTAAAGCACTTTTTAAAAATACATTGAAATGCACATTTACTGTGTGAAGGCATATTGCTGTATACAATTTAAGTATCTTAACCTTGACTTTGGATTTAAGTCGTTATTATTTGCAAGGCTCCACAATCAATGTTTAACCACTGTGTAGAGCAAATTCAATAATAATAACAGAAGTCCACAATGCTTACATGTTCAAGTAAAACATACATACATACATAAATACAAACAATCAGATTTAGAATTTGAATCTAATTGAATTTGATTAAAGGTTCCTTGGCTTTTCATTTAAGGGGGGTGGGGCGTGAAAGCTAATTGATGTAAGCAAATTGTTTAAAAGAGAACAAAATCAGAATTATGATATTCCCTTTTTAAATCAAAAACTAGTAGTGTGCAAACTTTGGGGTATTTTTCCTTTTAAACTACTTTTATTTAATATTTGTGTGTAAGCAATGTAGGCTACTTGATAAAAAGGAAAAAAAGGAAATTGTATTTTGACAACTTGAAGAAAGAAAGAAAGAAAGAAAGAAAGAAAGAAAGAAAGAATGAAAGAATGAAAGAAAGAATGAAAGAAAGAAAGAAAGAAAGAATGAAAGAAAGAAGAAAGAATGAAAGAAAGAAAGAAGAAAGACACAAGAAAGAAAGAATGAAAGAAAGAAGGAAAGAAAGAAGAAAGAATGAAAGAAAGAAAGAAGAAAGACACAAGAAAGAAAGAATGAAAGAAAGAATGAAAGAAAGAATGAAAGAAAGAAAGAAAGAAAGAAAGAATGAAAGAAAGAAGAAAGAAAGAAGAAAGAATGAAAGAAAGAAAGAAAGAAAAAAGAAAGAAAGAAAGAAAGAGAAGATGTGACAAGCTTGCTCATTTTGGTGATTTGGTAAAAGCAGAGCCGTTTCCAACTACCGTTTCCAACTACGTCACTTCCGCTTCACTCCTCCAATACTTCCTGCATGTGCCGGCAATATGGCAGCGCCCCTGAGCATTCATCTGGAGTTTGGGTAGGCGAATTGAAAAGTATTTTTTTAACAGTTTCGTCAGCCTGTTTTTATCTTCTGGTCGCAAGTTATGTGGGGACAAAATGTTAAACGACCGCTGCGTTTGAATATTTGGCCGACATAAGTTTTCGTTTATTTAAATTAGACCTCGAATCAGAGGGAAAGCTAGCCGACTGATGGACTTGAGTTTGTTTATGATTCAGACATCACCACGTCGTGTTGTGGCGTGCGGTCTTAAACATGGGAGTGAGAGGTTGTTGTGTTGTCTACAGAACTGGAAAAACTCTGAACTGTCATGCAGCATTAATGAAAGCCACACAGTTTGGTGTGCATTTCTGTTCGCTGACTGACTAAAACATCTTCTGAGTCAATGAAGCGCAGACAATGACACATTTCATACTGAGTAAATCAGTCCGTACCCAACAACACGTCTTATCTGTCCTGGTTTCCGACGCAGGAAGGAAGTTACTTACTTACTGATCACACTGGAGGGAAACACACAGAGGAAGGAATGAACACAAGACAAGAAACACTGAGGACAACTACAAAATAAATACATTAAACACTGAAGACACTGTAGAATGAAAAGTCAAGAAACACTAGAACATAGAGGGAAACACCAGGGAAGAATGAGATCTAAAAGATAAAACCATATAACTGTGAAAAACTAAACTAAACAGAACAAATCATGACATAACTAAAGTTGATATAACGTTACAAAAGGCAAGTAAATCACTTTCCATTAAAAACCTCAGAGCTCAGACTTCATCACAAGTCTGATTCATCACAAACAGGACCTGAGACCTAACTAGGAATTGGCTGCTGTAAAAGTCGCCCTACTTAACACATCTCTCCCTAAGGACTCGACCTGATTTGAGACAGGAATGAACATCAAGTCTCAAGAAGAAGAAAAAAAAACCCCACAATGATAAAATAAAAACAGATTCATGTTTCATCTGTAATGCTTTATGCAGGGTGTGGGGGGGGGGTACAATGTTAGAATACATTGCTATTTTTTTAAACATTTTGATATCCAATAGGTCCAATCATTTTCATGAAAAGAACGAGTATGTTCAGTTATTCTTAGAAAGTGTCTGTCTGTCAGCTGGTGCACATCAGGTCAGCAGATATGCAAAGGAAAAAAAAAAAAATGACTCCAGGCAAGCATCGGATGTAACAACTGCACTGTGGTCCTCACACACTCGTCAAGTAATATTTATACGAACATTTCCGACCCAATTACCTTCATTTCGTCCAGGAAATAAATAGATAACTTACCTTCAATACTGTTGCCTTATTTCTGGAAAACTGCTCGTCAATGAATGGATAAAATAACCAGGAGCAGATATGAATCAATACTTAAACAGAAAATAACTTAAAAAATTGTGTTTTAATGTCTTGCATTTTCTGTGATGTGAATACAAGCAGAGGTGTAGAGGAACAACTGTAGCTGCTTAAGCCTGTGACGAAAGCCAAAACCACCTCCCATTTAGTCTCAGTGGTTCCTTTTAAGACACACACCTGACTTACTCAAACGTTAATTCATCTGTCTGTACGGCTGCCTCACACTCAGAGAAATGGAACGAGGAATAAATGGGTTTCCTATATGTTTACTAAGACCTCTTACTTCAGTTGATCTACCATTATAGTCGAAAATAAGAATAAACGGTTCACTTTGGACCTCTAAAATTAAAAAGTAAAAGTCGAGGGCTCATTGGTCACTTTCAGGCATCAGACACAAACACGTATCCTGTAGAACCACCAGAAAGGATTTCTCTTTTAGGGTGGTAGTGCCACATGTCATGAATTGCACACTCTTAATTGATCTATTTGACTCCCTTTTTTGTTAAGCGGTGGAGCAGAGCTGCTGTTTGACGGTGTGAAGGAACATCATGTGACTCTTCCAAGCCAATCAGAGCCATGTGAGTATCAGCTGTCACCTGTCTGTGATCGATATAAGGAGAGAGTCTTTGTGCAACGGTGACGTCCATACGATTCCCTTGTTTTTTTTTTTCTGTGGTGGCACGAAGTCAGACAGTATCATCGCAGAGATCCATGTGATATGAAGTGTTTCTTTTGACAATATTTACATTAGATACATTTTTTCTGAGGTCTTGCTCAGGGTGAGAAGCGTTTCCTGTTATCATGTCTCTCTGGTGTGCTCTGGGTATTTGACAATGTGTTGCATCAGATTCCAGATTGATCAGCAACTGAAAAGACAATAAACAGAGACAATCTGAAGGGCTACTGCTGGGGCGTACTTTAAGTTTACACACAGTTTGACAACTCATTAGCTGTCGGTGTAGCTAATCTTAGCCTCCAGACACTTCCCTACTAACACTAGCTTTCACTTGGAATAAATAAATAAACATTAGTGCTGACATTAAGACTCTTACTAGCTAGCATTAAGCCATTTGGCATTGTTATTTCACAACATGGTAGGACTTTTTTTTTTTCCAGTAACTAAATCATTACCTAAAGTCTGGTTGAGATTTATCACATAAAAATGAAAACTCACCAGTGTAATGTCCTTATTACACACAATTGTGGCTATTATCTGAAAACAATAGACATCCTGCAGAGAATGATTTTAAGGATTTTAAAATAGTCACTTTGCTCCACTGAGTAGAGCTTGATTCTGTCCTTTAATGTATGATAGTGATGAAACTGACAGAAAAATGTGTCTTTGAGTAAAACTGCTCATACAATATAGGAACAAAAAAGACGTGATCCTAACTAATACTCCATATCAAGGTCTTGAATGACATGTTTCAAGGTATAGATGAACCTATCATACAACAGGAATATGTTATTAAATGTGTTGATAATGCAGACCTTTCACCAGCATGGTAGCAGTATAATAGATTTTTCATTTGGAAGTCCCTGTCATCAGTTGCTTTGAAGTTTTCCTTTTCTCATTTTGCTCTGTGACTGTGCAGCCGTTTGTTCTGTTTCAAAACCTTGTTGCCTCCTTTATTTGTAATTTTTTTGCCGACTCGTAATGCTTATTGACATGCGTGTGTGAATTAGTGGTTTTAAAGGGTTTAAACTTGAAGTGCATGATTTTCTCTGTGATATATGAAGAGCAGTGGGGGTGACAGAGCTCACAAGCAGTTTGGTTATTTCAGTCGCTCATATTTCAATTAATAAATACTTCATTGCTCTCCACAGGTTCCTCTTTGATTACATATATATTCTTGCTTGGGAGGGGGGTGATTTTGTTTCCCATAGGACACAGGTCATTCAGAAAAGCAATACAAGTACAATTAAGTGCAAGAAAAAGGACGGGCTGTAAATGGAAGTATTGAAGATTTCTGAAATATATAAATGTGTGAGAATTTTTACGTGTGTGTTATGTAACAAAAAAAAAAAAAGTGGGGAAAAAAATCTGTGTCTTTTGTATTTAACTGAACAAAGGGTGTTCATCCACGGCGCTCATGTTACCACGACAACAAAAAGACAAAAGTTGACCACAACAGGGATTGCCAGAAAGATATGACCTTGCTACACCAACCAACCTGTGTGTGTGTGTGTGTGTGTGTGTGTGTGTGTGTGTGTGTGTGTGTGTGTGTGTGTGTGTGTGTGTGTGTGTGTGTGTGTGTGTGTGTGTGTGTGTGTGTGTGTGTGTGTGTGTGTGTGTGTGTGTGTGTGTGTGTGTGTGTGTGTGTGTGTGTGTGTGTGTGTGTGTGTGTGTGTGTACATGTACAAGCTGAGATGTTTGCTATGCGTTGAATGAGCCTCGTACTTTCATGCTTTAAATGTCACAGGTGCACAGACGTTCTGACATAACATTTCCTGGTTGATTTACACATTGTGATCATAAGTCCGGTCTGCTTGTGTGTCTGCTGATCCTGAAAATGTTGCTCCGAACTAATTTCGCCTCACACATTAGTGTGCGTTTGATGAGTGTGTGTGTGTGTGTGAACACAGACGGGGTGCAGTGGAGGCAGATATAATTGGTTCTGAATCCTTCGTATTTCTCTTTGACCCCAGTCGGTGATTGATGACCCTCGACTGAAAGACCCCACCCCCACTCTCTCTCGCTCTCTCTGTCTCTCTCATTCTCTCTCTCCCTATCTCCCACACAACAAACCCCCCCCACCCTGGTCTAAGGATCACACACTTTCTGCCCCTCGTATCAGCAGAAAGATGGATAGCTCCCCCCTCCTCACATGACCGTCATAATTGCACAAAGACAAAAAAAGCCAAAGGAGGAGAAGGAAAAAGGGGGTAAAAAAAAAACAAAAAAAACTGCACGCACAAAAGAAAAGCGGTTTTGAATCGGCGTCAAAATGGCGCCTTTTCCCTCCCTCCATGTATCTTTTCCCACCCACGCAACGCAGATATCCCAAGATGCTCTGGGAGCGCGTGACGCATTTTCCCCCTCGCTATCGTCTGTTTGTTCCCTTATTTTGCTCCCATCCTACCTGGTCCACAAAACGCCTTCGAATAGCTTCACTTTCCTTCTGCTTTCCTCTCTCAACTCCTCATTTCTTTACATTGTCCTCCATTTTTTTTTACGCAGTCCGTTTCTACAAAGCAGGCTGGTTTAAAGACCTGTGTGTAACCTTTTACAAGAGAGCCATTAAAAGGACAGTGTCCCGTGACTGTTTCTGTTGTAAAATCTCAACCGATGAAGGTTTGAATTATTATCGACCTGTGTATCGAGCTACGGCAGATTTGTATTTTCTGTGTGCAAAATTGTACGTGTCTGCTGGTGTGTGTGTGTGTGTGTGTGTGTGTGTGTGTGTGTGTGTGTGTGTGTGTGTGTGTGTGTGTGTGTGTGTGTGTGTGTGTGTGTGTGTGTGTGTGTGTGTGTGTGTGTGTGTGTGTGTGTGTGTGTGTGTGTGTGTGTGTGTGTGTGTGTGTGTGTGTGTGTGTGTGTGTGTGTGTGTGTGTGTGTGTGTGTGTGTGTGTGTGTGTGTTCAGGTAGAGACAGAAGAAATAGAGAGAGAGGGAAGGAGAGCAGGTTTATGAGAGAATTAAAGCGTGTGTGAGTGACTGAGAGAGAGAGAGAAAGAGAGAGAGAGAGCGCACAAATGAAAAAGTAAATGGGCGAGCAGATGAAAGAGCGAATAAGGGGTAATGGTGGAGAAAAATTACCCATAGTGAAGAACAGAGAGAGAGAGAGAGAGAGAGAGAGAGCAAAGGAGTGACCACAAAGAAGGAGTTATGACTGCTGTGGTGATTAGTTCTGTTTTTAGCCCCGCAGAGGTCAATATTCACTGCCTAGAACTCTTCTCTGTGTGTGTGTGTGTGTGTGTGTGTGTGTGTGTGTGTGTGTGTGTGTGTGTGTGTGTGTGTGTGTGTGTGTGTGTGTGTGTGTGTGTGTGTGTGTGTGTGTGTGTGTGTGTGTGTGTGTGTGTGTGTGTGTGTGTGTGTGTGTGTTGCAAAGGGAGGTGTTTGTCTTTTTTATATGGAGGCCAGGAACCATAGAAAAACCAGCACTATCATTACACTACTGAGCACTGCAATTAACCTGCACACCGTTTCAGACACACACACACACGCTTGGAACTGTACGTGCAGACACACACACATGAACACACGGACACACTCTAACACACTCATCACATATCATAGCCACAGTGACCGCGCAGGTGCATCAAGACATTTTCCTCATTCTTGCAACTCCATTTGAAATGCTAAAGGATAGGCCTTTAATTTAGATTTGTATGCCTTTTTTTTTTTTGTTGGGGTATATTTTAAAAGATAATGTTTTTTTTCCCCATGTTTGTGTTTGTATGGTTAATATTTTTTTTTTACGATTGCTTGTTCTTTGAGCTCATTTCTGTGATTAAAAGAGAAATACTATGAAATCTTATATTTAGCAAATGACACAACAGGCATTTTTGTCCGATATGTTGACCTGATTTAAAAATAAATTCAAATTAATCTAATTGTAACACATCTGTAAAATTATTCTCATAATCCTGGAAAATACAGTTGTTCTGGTGGGTGTCTGAATAATAAAATGCACCTTTAATTTCCCAGTAATCTTACAATCTAATAGAGTGATTTATTGAAGTATTTTGCTCGGCTGTGGTTTTCTGGATGTATTTCTTGTAAAAAACAAACTGCATCATCTTCATGTGATGTCAGCTCTGCCTTTCATCCAGCTGAACTCCTGAGTCCCCGTGTGTTTCCATGTCTACCTGCCATGATTTCTCGGCTCTCCTTACACCTGGCTTGAGATGACTTACCGTCGTCCTCTCACCCTCTGTATCTGCTCCATCGGCTGCTGCTGCTGCTGCTCTCCATTTTTTCTCGCTTTCCGAAACATATTTGCTCTCACTCCCCTCCATTTCATCAGTCTCTCCTCATACATTTGTACTCCTTCAACTCCATTTTTAAAATTTATTTCAGTGTAGGCTAGTAAAGGAGGCCGTTACTGTTCATTTTAAGGTCGTCGTGTGTGTGTGATATGGCTACCAGCGTTTGCTGTGAGGCTCGCGAGTCATCGTCCTCCTGTACATTAAGTAGACAGCTGTGATCATACACACACGCTGCACACTTAAACGCCACAGCCAAAAAAAATGGTCACTACCAAAATGAGACCGTTGGTATACAATTCCAATTTTGTATATAGGCGAAACTCACTTCTCAAGGAAACACACCAAGCATGAACACAGACACCACCTTAAATCTTTACGTTACCAGCTGCCATAACTGTAATATATTCATTATTGCTTGTTTAGTGGGGATTTATCCTAAAACCTCTCTTTGTCGTTGCCTTTGTGGCTTTCCGTCAGCCGGTCTGAGAGACGCTCGACCTATTGTGGAGACAAGGTCAAGCTGATTGTTGAAGAGGTCAGACTTATAGAAAATGAAGGCAACGCTCAGATTGAGGCAAGGGCCATTTAATGATCGACTTCTTTATAGAAAAATATTATTATTAAGGTGGAAATACTGTTCATTTTATTATTTAAAAAATCTCTGAAAAAGTATACCGCTAGAGACACTTACATTGTGTTTTTATTATTTGCGAAATAGATATTTTGGGGAAGGTTCTGGCTAAATATAAAAAAATAGTTATTTATTCAAAAGTTGGAAATGACGTTTCAAGCTGACGCTCTCTGCTCTCAGTTAGGTTGACACACACACACGCACACGTTTTATTTGTTTTATTTCTTTCTGTACAAGGTATATAATGTTGCTCTTGGCCATTGACTCTCCTCAACCCTCCCCCCAATTTCAGAGTCCTCTCCTCCCCCCTGAACATACACTTCCACTCATAAATATACATGCACACAGACACACACACACACACGTATACGCAGCTTTGTCCCGCCTGGTGCTCCCGTCGCGTCACATCGACCGGGAGGCTGGAACCATGCACCTTGACCCTCAACCTCAGACCTCTGACCTCTGTTGTCTGCCTCTGTATGAGCTTTAATGTGTGTCTGTGTGCGTGTGTGTTTGATAATGTGTGTGTGTGTGTGTGTGTGTGTCTGTTTTTCAGGGGACGTGAAGCAGCTGCTGGTCTGGATCCAACGGAACCTGCTGAAGGAACGGCCTGAGCTCTTTGTCCAAGGAGACTCTGTGTGAGTGTGTGTGTGTGTGTGTGTGTGTGTGTGTGTGTGTGCACTTGACATACACTTGATCTCATTACATCAATACAACCCTACAGGATTTGTAATACACACACACAACCGCGTGATCAAAAATGTCACTATCAAAAATGTTTTAAAAGATGTGATCAAAAAAGCTGTGAAGTAACATCTGTCGAGGTTTAAAAAATGTGAAAAAGAAAGGAACGTAGACGTTGCATCGAAGAGATTTCTGCAGCATTTCTCCTGCAGCTTAAAACTGCTCGGAGAAAAAACCAGAGTGTAGCCTTCAGGTTATGGGTTTCAGTAAGATGATTACCTGTGAGCAAGTGTGCATTGTGTGTTTGTACGCACACGTGTGTGTGTGTGTGTGTGTGTGTGTGTGTGTGTGTGTGTGTGTGTGTGTGTGTGTGGTGTGTGTGTGTGTGTGTGTGTGTGTGTGTGTGTGTGTGTGTGTGTGTGTGTGTGTGTGTGTGTGTGTGTGTGTGTGTGTGTGTGTGTGTGTGTGTGTGTGTGTGTGTGTGTGTGTGTGTGTGTGTGTGTGTGTGTGTGTGTGTGTGTGTGTGTGTGTGTGTGTGTGTGTGTGTGTGTGTGTGTGTGTGTGTGTGTGTGTGTGTGTGTGTGGTGTGTGTGTGTGTGTGTGTGTGTGTGTGTGTGTGTGTGTGTGTGTGTGTGGTGTGTGTGTGTGTGTGTGTGTGTGTGTGTGTGTGTGTGTGTGTGTGTGTTTGGGTCCAGGGCTCACAGCAGTGTTATAGGACTGGCTGACTTTTACTTCTGCCTTTGTGCAAGACTATTTATAGCTCCACCTAAACCAATGAATGTAGTAAAAGCTAGGCTACCTATAAACCTTAAAGATTAGGTGTGTGTGTGTACTTTATGTAGAGAGCACACATTGTTTTGAGCATACCCTCCTTAAGGTGTTTTTTCATTTTCTTATGTAAAATATATCTAGTGGAATTAGTTTAGAATCTTAAACCTTTGTATTTTTTTTTTTAACACAGCCCTGCTGCTGCTGTGGTGTGTTCATGCTTCCTGTAGCTTCCTCGCATGTTGCCCTTTCTCACTGACGTCATAAAGCGTCCACAAGGTGGAGAGGAGCAGCATGAGATGAAGCAGTATCTATCACGCCATCCACATTACACACACACTTTTTTTTATTATTAAGACTCAACCCATAGGTGCCTGATGTTACCTCCCCATCATCCTCTTTTGAGGGTGAAAGGAGTTTTTTTTTTTTTTCCAAGGCTTTATCTGTATGTAACATTTGGACAGACAAAAGTCACTCTCCACTTTTAGTTCATTTTAACATTTTAAAATTTAACATTTGAAATGCTCCGTGTATATTTTCAGAAACAGACGATTAACTGTGCATGGCATAAGCAGCAGTGAGAATAATCCAAAAGTTCCTATTGATGACCTTGTTGATGTGAACATGAACATAACACACAAATACTGTCACACATTCTGAGTGATTATATTAAATTAAATACAACAGTCTTTACACTGGAACTTAACACAATTTATCTTGATTTTATTATGTGTTTTCAAATGATGATTAAAAAAAACCCACCAGACTACTCCCAAGCATATGTGTAAAAATTTATCAAAAAGACAGTTAAAAGCAGTAATGTAATTTCTAGACGTTTCTTTAGATATTCTTAAAATGATCTGTGTTTTTAAGAGCAAATGCATTGCTTCGATCTGAAATGTTACAAAGAAATAACCTCTGTCCGTAAAAAGAGGCTGGACTACAATTGTTAAAAGTTATCAGTAGTCATAATGAAGATATGCTGTGATTGCAGATTTAAAGGCTACATTCGAAGACAAAATAAAGGATATACCTCAGAAAGCAGTTTTTTTTTTTGTTCACATTTTCTTTAGAAAACCTCTCATTATAGTGTTTGTATTTTAATGCATCTCAAATTGGGTGTGTTTTCGCTTGATTTTCTATTTGTTTAACAAATAGAAAATCATTTCAATTTATTTTATGTGAAATAAAATGTTACATTTTTTTTTTCTCTATATCTGTGAAGGCATTCCAGCTCTACCTGTCTGTGTCTTTTATACACGTGTGTAAACGTTTGCTTGTGAGTCAGTGTTACCTTTGGGAAATGTGTCTGACCCGTAGCCATGTGTTTTCCCTCAGGAGACCTGGGATTCTGGTGCTTATCAATGATGCAGACTGGGAGCTAATGGTGAGCACTGGGAGCCACGTTCAATGTCAGATAGTGTGTGTGTGTGAGGGGGTGTGTGAGGGGGTGGGGGTTCTGCAGACATCAAAACATGCATTATTTTTATTTTATGCGTTTTAGCTTGTTTGTTTTCAGTATGTACAGTTTTAGTGTAATATGATGGAGGATCGTGCATTCAGCTGTGTTTATGTATTCATCCATATATTCTCTTAGCTATGTAAGGAATGCCTGTGTTCAAACAGGAGCAGGATGAGTGTGTGTGCGAAGGTTAGCCACTAAGATTGTTCATTTTCTCCAAGTCACTTCATGTTTCATGTAATGTAAACGCAGCAGCAGGACAAGTTTGTCCTTGGGGCCTCATATATCTGAACATGTATTTACATGCACACACAGACTGAACGCTTCAATTTGAATCCATTGATTCAATTACAGGACGCAACACAGGATGTAAATGAAATGAAAAGTTTGTCATTGATTGGACAACATGGGGAACACAGGAGTATTTTTCCTCCTCTGACTTCTATAGAGGTGTTTGGATATTGAACGTTCTGTGTGTTTTCTTAACCTCAGGGGGAGCTGGATTACCAACTACAAGACCAGGACAACGTGGTGTTTATTTCCACCCTTCATGGAGGATAAAAAAAACAAACTGGTTTTAGGAAAAATACACATCTCTGTAACAGCCTTTCTCTTCACATGCTCTTTCTTTCACCCCCCTCACATCTTAAACACGTCACCCCATTGGATGCAGCCCGCACCGTGACATCTAAGGTGATTGGTGTTGGTCTGCAGGTATGAGTGGAAATTCAGAGATGGTTACCGAGAAAAATTTGGATGGAAAAAACGGTGAGACAGGAATTCTGTGGACGTCTGTGTAAATACCAACATTTTTTATATATAATACTGGACAGGGTTAAAGGGCAGACACACAAAGCACGGGTTGTATTGGTCACCTCACAGGTGTGTGTTTGTGTAGGTGTGTGTTCATAACTATGGTTGGTGTGTAAACCTCCCTGCATCCTCTATTCCAGCATGACTGTGAAAGTCTGCATTACCTTATCAGAGGGACAATAATGACCTTCATATCATAAAAATATAAAAAAGCAGAGGTTACATCCCCCCCGATAAGCATTTTATTTGAACATTTTGTAAATAGTTCAAAACACACTCTTAATTGGTTTAAGCAGATATAAAGACGTTATGAGTCTCCATCATTTTATCTGTCGAATATTATAACTTTTCATAAAGTAAATTTGTCAGATACAGAGAGTCCTGTCCAGTAGCCAGTTGCTGCTTCACATGGTCACTGAAATACACATAGTAGTATAATGGTTGATCAAAAAAAAAAATGTCTGGCCATTTTCCTTAAAAGTGTGTTATAAACTTTGTACTAAATAATTAATTGCTGCTTATTAATATGAATTATGGAGTTAAAGTTTTCTTTTTACACTTCGTGATTAAACAAAATACATTTTTATTTAAGGGCTTTGTTGTCGTTATTGCTTCTGATATACCTTCTGAGACTATTTTTTTGTTATTTTATTTATAAGCAACTATACATTTGACTAAATTATGTATATTAAATGTACATTATCCGAGATTTGTTTTTACGTATTTATTTTTGGATATAGCATTATCCCACGTTCAACCTGGTAAGAGGGACTATTTTCTGTCTTTAAGTAGCGAAATAGCAAATGGGACAGGGTTCATTAAATTAGGTTAACCTTATTCTTATCGCTACTTTTTAATTTACGAAAAGTAGGCTATGGTTACTTTTGTTGTGAACTTCTATATTAACGATCGTCCATTGTAGCTTTATTACTTTCCTTTTTTTTTTTTTTTTTAACTTTTCTCTTATCGTATTCAAATATTGTGTTTTTCTTTCTTGGAAAAATCACCAAAAGAGTCCAGTGTTGGCTGCATGGATCAAAACCTCCCTGCGTCGCACACACAGAGGCCTTTGAGCCAGACGCTTTTCTCAATTAGGATTTCGCCTCACGCTTCGATAATTCTTGCTGATAGCTTATATCTGATCGATTTAAGGCCTTCTCTGTGATCACACTGCAGTTTTAGGCTGATTAGAAGAGACTTCAGGGAGATGTTACCGTCATATAGCCCCTCTCAGCTGGAATATTCATAAGGGCGGGGGGTGTGTGTGCGTGTGTTTCTATGTGTGTGTGTGTGTGTGTGTGTGTATGTGGGGTGTAAACTGCAGGAGCACCGCGGGAGGTCGAGGTCTTGCCTCCGGGTTGCCCTCCTCTAAGCGCCCGGGGCAACCTAAAACCTTTTCTCGGTGGTGGAGTCCGATTTGCAACGGGAAACCGGCCGATAATGGCGGCTAAAAAGGAAATGCTAATGAAGCCAGGAGGGGGTTAGAGAGGAGCAAATGTAGTGCTGTTATATAGCTAGCTGGAGTTCAGGCCTTTAACTTTTAATTCTTATCAAATAGCCTATTAAGATTATCTGAGCTGATCTTATCTTTTTTTTAAACTAAACTCTAAAAAAAACAAAAGAAAAAATCAGGGTTTCCATTACAGCCATTACAAATGCATGTTACCCCACTTTACTTTACCCACAGGCCAAATCCCTGGACAAATCTTACGTTTTCCTTCCCTCACGGCTTCCGTATTATTTATTTAGACTATAATTCACCCAGTTATAAACGGGCTGCTGAATATCTTCCACGAGTCCTGCAGGGAATGGACCATTTTCCTGGGATCAGTCCACAGTGCATCGTGACGGTGTTGGTGCAGAGACAGTGAACGCACCATCACAGATCACACAAATGCATCATAACCTCTGTGAACAGCCCGGGTTTCAGTTTAGGGTGCATCAACAAAACAGTTTGATCTGCAATCCTCAACACAGCCATAAAATGAAAACAACCAATTTGGACTAAAATACCAGAGAATGATTTTAAATAAGCCTATTACATAATCTACCTGACAGGTTGATACTTTTGTTTTCGAAAAGGAGCACTAGATTGCACCCCTACAATAATATTTAGGCTACCCCTCATATTTGGATTATGTTAATTTCAACTCGTTATTTATTAGAGATTTCTGCACCTTTGTGTATAATTTCAGACTGGGAACAAGCCTTGATAAAAGTAATAGGCTGATCTGCTTTAGTTTTATGCTAAACACAGTTATGCCAGATATTGCACATTGGGCACAAAGTTTCCAGCAGTGAGTGCTGAGACGAAGCCCATATACTGCTCTTCAGAGTAACCTGACTTTTAATTCTAATCCTGTTGAGACACAGCTTTATTCCAATTCTCTAGCCTGTTGTATTATTTAAGATGCGTTTATAAAATGCTTTATTTCGCGTGTGGGGGGGGGGGGGGGGACTTGAAGAAATCATGGATTCTTGCAGACAGGCTTTTCATATAAAAATATTTATTTTGAGTGTATTCTGTAGAGTAGCCTAAACAGCACCATGCAGAGTCCTTACAACAGGGAAAGCATTCCTGCAAACATGATGCTCTGATCCCCGGGACTTAACAAAGGTTATCCTTTAATGTTCTACCAAAACACACAAAATACTGGCTGTGTGTGTGTGTGTGTGTGTGTGTGTGTGTGTGTGTGTGTGTGTGTGTGTTTTGAATTCAATGTTGGGTCTACAACTGAAAACTAAAAATGTACAATTTAAAAAGATATTTGAAAGTTGAATATAATTCATAGGCAATATTCCAACGTTTGAACTAGTGATTTAACACAGCACTCATTTTTTACTGTTTACAAAATAAACACTCGAGCAGATGTTAAATAATTTACTAACTTTTTCAATAGTCATTTGAATTATTTTCAGAATAAAAATATTCATTTATGAAAAAAAAGTCAGCAAAAAGGGCCAAAGAGCGTCCCACGTGACGTAGCTATTAATGACGCTGGCTCCACAGATCTGGCAGCATCAAACATCAGGCCTCTCGTATTCTGTTTGGTTTTGCAACAATATAAAAGCATAAATGCGGTTTTTATTGACTAACTAACAAATATTTGTGTGTAAGTGTCTCCTGGAGAAAAGTCTTTAGTTTTACCTTAATAGGTTTAATTTTTGCTCTTGGACTAGTGAATAGGCTGCTAAGGATTTATTTAAGGATCCACTGATACAACCGAATGTAACTTTTAATTATTTTTTTCATAGCCTATACTGAATCTGCCTTCTTTTTTGTGGTGTAGGCCTATTTCTTTTCGTCGTTTATGGCTTAATGTTTTTGATGGCCCAGCTTTTTAGCTTTGCTCATCTCCTCCTGCTGCACACACACACACACACACACACACACACACACACACACACACACACACACACACACACACACACACACACACAGGCCTCACTCTGCACACTCTACTCACTTCATTCTACTATTTTCCAAAAAACAGCCGATACATCGATGCTTCCCGTCGATATTTGCCATTTAAAACAAACAGTCCTGATTAGATCTTCGACAAAGTGTAAATACCAATCGGGCCATGCGAATCACACAGCCAGAAAAAGAAAAAAAACAAAAAACATGTTACATGAGGCAGAATACGGTTTCCTCCACTTTATTGGAGCATTTTCCCCCTAGTGTGCTTTAAATCTTACCTGGAATTGACACAATTAGAAAACAAAACGACACTAAAGGCCTTCCTATAGAAGCGTCTTTGTGCTGAGGAGGCCTACATTCTGCATGTGGCGTTTGGCCAAAGACAGCAGCAGTGATGAATGTGAGTCTGCAGCAACAGATGTCCATACACAATTCTTGGGGTTAAATTTGAGTTTACTCAAGAATTGCGTTTGGACAATCAGACGCTAAAGACTCTGTGTATCCTCTGCCAAAGATTAAAAGACGAAAAGAAGTCATTTAATCGTTTAAATCACAAGGGTGCACGAGCAGGTTATTGTAGATGAAGGCCCAGAGCTGCACCTGCTACGAGCTGCCTGCATGCCCTTTGACAGAACCTCTTTCTCTTTTTTTACTAAAGAAATGGAGTTGTAGCCATGTGCATCTTTCTTTTTTTTTTTACACTCTCTGATTAGCATTCACCTTTTAGCTTCTTTAAAAAGGAGCTTTCTCGCATGCATTTCCAACTCTAAGCTGTTGCAGCAGAATATAAACCTTAAGTATTTTTCCTGCAACACCTTTAAACTTCAAAACTCTAAATGCCTCTGCACTCCCCCTTATTAAACCCCTTTATTAGACCTAAGTGCAATTAAGAGCAAACCCCCTCATTTGATCTGTCTGGAAAGAAAGTGCACCATTAGGCTATTAGCAATTCTTTGATAGCCTAATGCAAAGGAGGCGCATTGTTGCAGCCACAATCACTTTGTGACATTACTTTTTCCCCGGTTAAAAGCAGCATATTCTCCACGTTATCTTTAATCTGCAGCATTTACCTCTCCATGTCTATAGTTGTAAAGTTAACCCCCAAGTCAGTTCACATATCTCTGGGGCCTTAAGATGGCTGAAATGCATCTTTAAGTAAAATGTCATCTCTTTTTGTTTCACCTGGCAGTTTCACTTTCAAAGTGTGTCAAAAAATAGCAAGAAAGCAAAGTGGACTGGACTTCTCTTTCATCTTTAAGTCCGAGGTTCAGGACGCCAGGGAATAATAATAAAAAAAAATGTTTCGCCATTTCTGCACCTGTTTACTGTCATCGATTTAGGGAAAGACTGCTCAGTTGTGGAGCCTCACGATGCACAATGGCTTTCCACGGACGCTAAATTAAAAAAAATAAAAAATAAAAAATAAAAAGCGAATAAAAGAAAAATCCCCCTCCTATTTGAAGAAAGACTTGGAGCATTAATGTTCTTTCCTCTTCTGTTTTAATGCCGATTTTCTTTCAAAGGAAACCCCTTAGTTCCCGGCGGTGCTGCGTCCTTGGTTCAGTTCCCACGACGTGCGTTTCTCTCGGATCTCTCCGCTCCTTAATCCTCCCGAGAACCAGCCAGCAGCGTCGGGTGGTGACGAAAAGAGGCTGAGGAGCATGAGGAGAGAGGCTGGCCCCTGCCTCCCTGCCTCCCTTCCATCCAACCTTCTCGGCTCTCTCGTACTGACTGACTGGCTAGATGCCCCCCTCTCTCTCTCTCTCTCTCTCTCTCTCTCTCTCCTCTCCCTCTCCCTCTCTATGTGCCCTCCTGGCTTTTTCTCCTAACAATAAACGCTGCGTCCGCGGCGCGAGGCGGAGAGAGGAGTGGAGAAGGTCCTCGCTTGGTACTGAATTTGAATAACACCACGGGGTGATAAATGTCCATTGTACTGCTTAAGTAATGAATCTCCGCTGTCCTCTATGTCACACACACACACGTACACACACACACACTCACACTCTCTCTCTCTCTCACACACACACACACACACACACACACGCCAGCAGCTGCGATGAGGGACCAGCAGCCCCTCTTAAAGACACAACAGCCCTATTTTCTACCAAAAAAGAGATTACAATCCCGACACTGTTTACTCTCTGACCGCACTGCATGACGTGCACTGTTT